CGAGATTTCGATTATCTCAATAGCTCGTCTTGTAGAGAATTGAACGCTCTACAAGATGGTTGGTCTAAAGCTGTTCTAAACCCAAAATCAAGCAAGTTAAGTATTGCGGAAAATTCCTATTTTCCTGTGTCCAAACGTCATTTTGAGCTCTTTAGAAAAATGATCTCATAGTTCACTAAGCTTTCATCTAAAGGAAATGTTGGACACGTGTTCCGAAAGAGCATCAAATTCTGATTCTAACTAACTGGTTTTTGTTCTCAGAAGTCGTTTCTAAGTGACCTAAAAATGGATGAACATTTTGTACGAAGACTTTTTAGACAAAGGTTATATATTATGAATTAGTGCAAATTCTTTCTAGAATACGTCAAAGGTCAATTTCCAGTAGTAGTCATTAAAAAAAACGATTTGAAGCGAGTAATAACCAACACGCTAGTTTATGGGAAAGTAAAGAAAACAAAATTATCAACAAAAAATGTACAAAAGAACAATATCAGATGGAACATCAGGATCAGATGAAATAATAGCACTCGATGAGACAATGTCTTAAGTATGGCATAGTTAAAATGTATATAAAATATTAAAATAATGTTACAGTTCTTAAATTGTTTGCTTGTTTTCCATTATTGGTCACGTCGTCCATTCCGCTGTGCGCGCTTAATAGTACAATGGCACACTTTATATAAGAAACATAGGTATCTAAAAAAAGGAAAACATAGTCTTATTTTAAATTACCTTGAACAAACTATAAACCACTGTTATATCAGATAAAAATTTCGAAATAAATGAGAAAACATTAACGTATTAATATATTACCAAACTAACTTTCTAAAACAAAAATAAAAGATAGAATAAGTAAGTTAAGTAGACAGAAGAAACCTTAAAGCGTTAATAGAATAATACACTTAGAAAAGTTTTTGTCCTGGTTTCAGTATAACAAAAGTTCCATTCCCAGGTAATGTCCAGTATGAGTCTTGCTCAATCTCTCCAGTATCATCGTGACTCAAACAGTAAATGCATGCCTTGTTGTTATTGATTTTTTTCTTTGTCATATATTTATCTACAAAGAGAAGTGATATTTTGGAAACGCATAAGAAAATCATTACCCGTAAGAATAATTTCACCAGGGGCACATAAAATCCCTTTGGCGATTTTTTGCATAGCTTCTCAGGGTATATCATCAATAACAAGATAGTTACCTTCGTCAAGCCATTCCTGCGATTGATGGATAAAAATTATATTATACTGCATCATAAAAACATATAACTCACTTTTAAACTAAAATTAATTGAGTGAAATATATATGTACCAAAAGAACGTGCTCATCCCGCTTTTCCTATAATTGTAACATTAACGTATTGGAATTTATGTTCGCAGAATAAGTTCATCTAACCTGATCCTGAATCTCCAATTAAGAATAAGCAACGGCAACGATCAGTATCATTGTTTATACGTTTTACAAAATCATTTTGTAACCAATCATTAACATATCGACGTATCCATCAGGCACACTAAATGAACTCATCCATTGAATATAATAATTTTTGTAGAATATAAAACATACCTGTATGCTTCGGTTACATAATAATGACAGTAATAATGACGATCATAATAGCGGTGATATTCTTCATCCGCTCTTTCTTAAACGAATATGACCTTTCTTTTCTTCTTGTTTTGTTTCTGTGTATAAATTTTTATGCAGAAAGAATATAGTTTTGTCACAAGTTGAATTATTAAAGATTGACTAAATAAAAAGCTGCACTCTGCCTGCGTTCGACCTGGTTTATAAATCTCAACTAGGGTTAAAGTTTATAACTCGGACTATTTATAACTAATTTAAAGTTTTTATTAAAAGTTAAAATAGTGATACATGGTTGGAGTTATAAATATTTATGAATCATATACGTTTAAACTCTTCAGTGGCTTGGGTGAATGTGGATTTGACGAAACTAGCGACCACGTTCCCGTAAAATAGCAGATATCGACTTTAGAAGCCCAGATCGGTTTAGCTGCAAATGCAAACTTCCTTTTCTGCATCACTGCCGAGGTCAATCAATGCTGTTCGAAACAATGCTAGAAAAGTATAATAAGGTGTGGTCATGTAGTCTTTTTAATATTTGGTTATTTTTCTTTAAATTTAAAGTTTTATATGTGGTTTATGGTTAGTTTATTATCTTTAATTCAAGTTTTGATTATGATTATTTTTATATATTTGCGGAAGTGTTTTTTAACTTTATTAGAGCGTAAGATGTTAAGTTATGCGCAAAATCGAAAAGGTCATAATAAAGTTGGATTTTTGGGTTTAATTCAACCTTTATTAGATAGTGGTAAATTATTTTTTAAAGATTGGAAGCTTTATTTTATTTCTTATTTTGTTTTTATTTTAATGCCTATTCTTGTTATCGTTTTTATAAGTTTAATATTGACTTTTATGTTTTTATTTTATTTTATAAATGTTTACAATAATAGAATTTTATTTATACTTATTATCAGTTCTTTAATGGTCTAGTTAATTTTTTCTATGGGTTGGATAAGGGTAAGATCTTATAGTGTTTTAGGTGGTTTACGTAGTTCTTCTCAGTTAGTAGCGTATGAAATTGTTATGTTTTTAATTATCTTGTTGGTTGTAATTTATAATAGTTCTTGGTCTTTTGTTAGTATTAATTTTAGTAGTGTTTATTTATTAGATGTGTTTGTTGTTTGGTTAATGATTATTTTAGTTGAGACTAATCGTAGACCATTTGATTTTGCAGAGGGAGAGAGAGGGAGTTGGTTTCAGGTTTTAATATTGAATCTGGAGCTGTGATGTTTGCCATTATTTTTATTTCTGAATATGATATAATTATTGTTTTTTCTTGATTAACAAGAGTTTAGTTTTTATATAACGTTTTTTTATATTGGTAGTGTTTTATGTGATTTAGTTCGTGGTTTTATTCCTCTTAGGCGTTATGATATTTTAATAAATGTTTGTTGGAAATTTTTATTTATGTTATTAAGAATTTTATTTTTGAAGGTTTTTGTCTTATAATGTGATTAAATAAGAATATTTATTTGGTGAAGATGTTAAATTCAATTTTGTCTGATCTTGCGAGTCCAATTAATTTATTGTGATTTTGAAATTTTGGTTTTATGTTAGGCATAGCTGTGGTTGTCCAAGTAATTGGGGGTATAATATTAGCTTTATATTATAGAGATTCTGTTAGTTATGCTTTTTATTTTGTTATTTATTTGGAGATTGAAGTTCAAAGGGGGTATCTTATTCGTTTTATTCATTCTACTGGTGCTAGATTATTTTTTATGCTTATTTATATTCATATTGGTCGTAGTTTATGATTTAAGTCTATGCTTATTGTTAGGGTTTGAGAACTGCCCTAGTGAAAGTACTCATACGATGAGTACGACTTTACTCATAATTCGTCCATGAGTACTCATATTGGTACTACTAACAATTTCTGAGTATTGTTACTCAGTGAGTACTCAGTTACTCATGTGA